TAACAAAAGGAAAGAGGATGGGGGGGGGGGGATTCGAGTTTCCTGAATATTTCCTGAATCCGAATATCATACCTGTATTGGGATTCGGGAATATCGGAAAATACCGATATTTTGCTGTGAGCCCCACAGTGAGCAGGGTGGCGGCACATGGGCCTGAATCTCAAGTGGCAAATCACCACTGGGAAATCAACCCCGCATGCCGTGGCCCTCACCACACTTGCAAAAAGAGCCTTTAAAGGGTCTTTTTGTAAGCAGAGCTGCAGCCAGTGACAGCCCCTCTCCCTCCCTGTTGAAATATTTAAAGGGCCCTCCTGCGGATCAGCAGGCCATATGCTCCCTGTTGATCAGCTGAAGCCCTTTAAATCTCTACAGGAGGGGAGGGAGAGGGGTGGCCGTGGCTTGGGGGTGGGGTGGAGTGGAGTGATGAGGGGACCTGGCAACTCTTATCTCCTGTGGTATCTTCCAGCATTCCATCGGGCATGGAGGACTGCTTTGTTTTGTGCAGCCTTTGGTTAATGTTATGAATTGGGGAGCTGGCCAGTTGATTTAATTCCTCTGAGTACTTAGAGGAAGAAGAGATTGGATTTATACCCCGCCCTTCACTACCCAAAGGAGTCTCAGAGCAGCTTACAAACTCCTTTCCCTTTCCCTCCCCACAACAGGCACCCTGTGAGGTAGGTGGGGCTGAGAGAGCTCTGACAGAAACTGCTCTTTTTCAAGAACAGCTTTTATCAGAACCACAGCTTGCACAAGGTCATCCAGCCAGGTGCAAGTGGAGGAGTGGGGAATCAAACCCGGTTCTCCCAGTTTAGAGTCCGCGCACTTAACCACTACACCAAACTGGCTCTCTTAAGTTGATGTTTTAATTGGTTTTTATTGTTCTACTTAGTGCAATAATTTATTTGTATTTTTTGTATTTTTTACATTTAGTAAGCTGAGTCCCCTGTGGGGAGAAGATGTAGGGTATGAATTAATTAAATAAATAATATTTAAGCTGCTCCAACTTTGCAAGACAGGGCCTATCTTTATAAGTACAGTCCAATTAGAGTTTGTGGTTTGAAGCTGCTTACTTGATAACCTTTTGGATACTGCAGAATATTTTCATATGTTCTAGGTGAATAGTCTCTTACAACAGCTTTCTTAATTGGCTAGGAGTAACCCCTAATTTGTGTGGAGATAGAGTATCTTGCTACTACAGTATTGCCAGTCGGGACAGGAAATGGGGCAAGTTGCTGAAGCATGGCTTGAATGTCAAAAAAGAATAGACGATTATGTTGATGAACAGGTAAGTATATTATATGGGCATTTTATCTTCTTGACAAGTGCAACAGTGAATGCAAATTATGTTTATGATTTTTTTAAAAAAAAATATTAGTGCTTTTCTGCCCCTTTGCAGCTTGGTAGTGGTAGGTGCCATGCAACTTTCTAGATGACCATGCCAGTTGTGCGTAACTGACAACCACCCAACTGTACCCTTTCGCTCCTAGGTTGTTAGGGCTTGTTATACATTTTAAAATGCTACAGCTTAATAGTGGGATGGAAGAGGAACAAAAAAACCGAGATGTCTCATCTGGAAGCCTACACGAAATTGTGCTTTTTTCAGAAACATTTTTCTTGTCTAGGGTCCAGTAAGCAGATAAAACAATGTGTCTGTATACTTAAAATAAAATCTGATCCTAATGTAATTTTTAGAATGTATTCCACTTATACCACACAGGTGCCTGTCCAGATGTTCAGTAGAGGGAGGGGCTGAGGCTGGAGCAGAGACTGAGTGTACCTGCAAGAACCCAGCGTACAGCTGGCCTTTAATGGCTCAGAATTTGGCTTTGCGCCTTGCAGATCTGAGACAAACCACCAAGAGAGGCTTCATTGCAGTGGGGTTGTCATCGGTACCTGAGATGATGTCAAAACGGAGCACCAACTTGGTGTCTTATATTCTGTGCTTACCCTGTTGAGGTCCTCCACTGTCATTGAAGAATTGAGGTCTTGATATATTGTGTCAACAAGAAACAAATCAGCTACTTGTGTTCCTTATACATAAAGGTTATGTGACCCTTGTTAAAAAAAAAAAGACTACCTTTGTAGCCATACGATGCTTTCTCAAAGACAATATGAAATATGCACCATTTGGATGGTGGATGTTGTACTTCTAACATTAATAAAGCAATAGGGAATATTATAATTTGCCAGAAAAGCTACAGTACTTGAAAACCTGGAAGCTTGGATATACAACAGCAAGCTGGCTGGCCTCAGTAGGATTAGCAGTGCCAGTGAGTTCATGCTTGCTTTTGACTACCTCGTTAGGTATTGCTGAGAGTTCCCTAGTGGTTTATTTCAGATATGGAACACAATAAAGCAAATTAAAAACATTTTCACTGTATCAGTTTGATGAGTGTACCAGCCTCCAGACAAGGAAAATTGTATCCTGGCTTTTGGGGGTTCTTATCTGAAAACAAAAGGGCAAGTAGGATGCCAGAAGTGACATATTTTTTCTGCTCCCCCCTACCCCTGCTATAAAGTTGCAGAAGAGGACTGTTGCCCGTAGCACACCCCCACCGTCACAAACTTCTCTGCATGACTTGTCATTTGTTTTTAGCTACTAAACTATTCTCATCCTTTAACAGGCATGACCTACCATGTTTTCTTATGCAGCAAGCATGTTAAGCTACTTCACAAGTTACTTTTATGTAGGAAACGTAAATTAAATGACACAACGTAAATTAAATGACACGGAATGTTCCATTTTTTTATTTGCGTGCTTATTTTTACCAGAATAAGTTTAGAATTATTTACAGTGTGCTCACACTTTGCTTTCAATTATTTAAATACGTTATTTCAAAATTCAAACATCACTGGATTGTTTATGAATTTTCTTGTGCGTAAGAAAGTGGTAATTTACACGCTGTCTCTTCAGAGACCTACTTGAGATGGTTCACAGCCAAAATAATGAAACCAAACAAGCCTGGATGTAAAAACAAACACTGAGCAGCCTAAAATGGACCCCACAGGTAAAAGCCTGGGTAAAAAGAAATGCTTTGGCCTGGTGCCTGAAGGTAGGGTAGTTAGGTACAAGGCCCCACCACCGAAAAAGCTCTATCTCTTGTCACTGCCTGCCTCACCTCTGCCTCAGTGCAGGGCTTGAGAACAGGATCGTAACTGGAGAGCTAAACAGCATGGAGGGAGTGCACAGACTGGTAGCAGTAAGGATTGTTGTTCAGTCGGACAGTCGAGTGTGACTCTTCGCAACCCCATGGACCACATCATGCCAGGCCCCTCCTGTCTTCCGTTATCCTCCGGAGTTTGCTTAATTTAATGTTCATTGCCTCAATAACACTGTCTAACCATCTCATCCTTTGCTGTCCCCTTCAGTCCCCTTTGTTGACCTTCAGTCTTTCCCAGCATCAGGGTCTTCTCCAGTGAGGGCTCCCTTCTCATTTGGTGGCCAAAGTATTTGAGCTTCAGCTTCAGTATCTGGCCTTCCAGGGAACAGTCAGGGTTGATTTCTTTTAGGATTGACTGATTTGATCTTCTTGCAGTCCAGGGGACTCTCAGGAGTCTTCTCCAGCACCATAATTAAAAAGAATCTATTCTTCGGCACTCAGCCTTCCTTATAGTAAGGATTGCTGATACAGTATTATCAGCCTATATCAGTAAGGATTGCTGATACAGTATTATCAGCCTAGGACTACTGTGTACTATGAAGCAGGATTTCTTGATCGCACCAATCACATGTTGCGATGTTGCATTTGTGCTGCAGTTAGGATTCCTCATCTTGACTGCTTCTTTGTCAATTAAATGGTTGTAAGGTGACCTCACTGGGCCAGATAGTTAGTTGTTCAAATGGTAAATAATACTAGCAAATGTAAAAGAAATTTGCTGTTTGGAGGACGTGTATTATTGGTTCTTCATGCACAAGTAACAAAGCAGATTATGCATCATTAAAGATTTCAGTGACCAGCAACAAAGGATAAATGTTTAAGTTGTCCATTTTTCCTTACAGGAGTATTGTGACAGTACTAATATACTGTCGTAGCCTTTATGTCCTACTTTTCCATTTAATAAGCATTTAAGGCAGCTTGCATACTTCAAATAAATGGACATACAGTCCAGACCTTATCTGCTCACATAAGAAATGTCTCCAAAATAAAATAAGCCAGTAATAAAATACAGACAGTCAGGAAACCAGCAAAGGGACACTAACCTGTATTTTGATTTGTTGCCGAAGATAACATTTGTGCCATGCTAGTATCTCAAAGATCTTCCACAAATTAGGTGTTAACTTGAAAAGGGCTTTTTACCCATGTACCTGATTTAGTAGGGCGTCTTTGAAAATGAACAGGCTTGTGTCCATTTATTAGCCAAAGTTTGTTCAATGAAGTAACAAGGCTACGTTAGACTAATTAAAGTTTAAAACAGTGGTCTCAAGACGTCCATGAGGTGCAAAGAACTGTTGCAGGCAGGAAAAATTCTCTCTCTCTCTCTCTCTCTCTCTCTCTGCCTAAATAAATGTTTTGGACAGATATATAGCCTATTTGGATGCCAGGTTTTGGTTGTGCATATGCTGTTTAGAAAAAAAATGGTTTATGAGGGAGGGGAACAAATTCCTTAGTGAATCTTTCCACTCACTTAAGTCTTCATTTCACTTTCTGTTTGTTTGCAACATGAATTTGATAGCTTTCCCACTATTGTAAGTACAAAATTAGACATAAGAAGCAGAATGTAATACAGCTTTAAAGATAAAAACACATCTTCACAGTAGACTCTGATCCTATTTCAAGAACAATCAAACAGCAAGAGCTGTTACAGTTTGCAAGTTCTTGAGTTAAACAATTTCAACTTGTAAAGATGTTGAGGGAAAATGCTCGGAATGGCATAATCCATTTAACTTTTTTCTGTGAGACTTCATGGGCTGGATCCCACAGTCAATACGTGGAAGTCTTGGTGCCCCCTTCCCCTCAGCAGCCATTTCTGACCCTGGGAAGTTTACTCCTAATGTCTTGGGATCTCCGCATGGAGTTATTGGTATTCATGTCAGGAAGCTGTAGTGGGGAGAGGCATGTCATGAAATTTCTTCCTTCTTCCATCAGCCTTATGATAATTGGCTTCACTACAGTGAAGATCGAGATCAGCTTAAGTAATGTGTCATTCAGTGGGCTCAACATTTCTTTGCTTCCAGTCACAGTTATAGTCATGTAGCAGGTAATTACTGCATTGAGCTGGTTTACTTTTATATTTCAGCAGCGTGTACTCTGAAACAGATGTAGTAGAAATTAGGCAGCATTTATCCAGTTAATTTGATTTAATTTTGTTCTAGGCAGCAATGAAAACAAAACAACATTTGCTGAAAGAAGACTGGGAATTTTATAAACAGAACCATTTTATAGAACAGGTGAGTATTTACTTGCATTACTTAATCTTCATTTTCTTGTATGAAAATTCTTTCTCTATTCTTTGATATGTAATACATCTGTCTTCAAACAACCCCATGCACGTTCCCCAAACAGCCAATGCTTGCATTGCACGTGGAACAGAATTTTTTCCCCTTGTTTTAAATTATTTTACACAAAACATACAACTTATATTTATTTAAAACAATTGTATCCTGCCTTACCTCCTTCGGCTCACGTTGACAAGCAGTGCAACAACCAGGTTGCAGGGTCATAAATCAGACAAAATTAAAACAGATTAAAATACAGTGGCCCCAGTCACACGGGCCGGATATCGCGGGAGGGAGGCGTGGTTGTTTGCCCTGGAGCGAACTACTGTGTAGCAGCCGGATCAAACCCGCCTGACGTCCCGCCGACGTCCCGTGGTTGGGGGGAGGTGCCGATCATACCTCACTCCTGCGGTGTGGCAAAGAAGCGGCGCTGCGGGGGTTGTGTTGTTTTTTTTAACCCAAGTGTTCGCATGCGCCGTTGGGTGCTTGTGCGCACTTGTGGAGACTTGACCAAAAAAACCCTTTTTGCGACGTGACATGGGCCCGGATGCCACGAGCTAACACCGAAAACATGATCTGACGCCCGCCCTTGCCCCGCGGTTTTCGGAAACTAGTACCTCGGAGGTACTAGTTTTTTACAGCGCATCTTCGGAGTGAAGCCTCGGGTGAGCCACGGGAGCTCTACGCTTCCCAGATGTGGTGGTGAGATCACGCCCAGATAATCCGCCTATCTTCCGTCTCTCTAGTGTGCCTAATGCTCCGTGTGACTGGGGCCATAATTTAGCAATTTAATGGCATTTAGATTTAATAGACCCACACAGGATCACCAAACTCTCAGCCAGATCAGGTGGAAAAGTTCACTTCCCACCAAATGCTGTCTGGAAGAGGTCTGTCTTACATTCCTTCCAAAATGTAGTAAGGAAAAGTGCCATCCTCACGCGCTGTGGCAGGGTATTCCAACGGACTGGGCCTACTATGGAAAAAGTCTGTGATCTTCCTGTGGCTGTGCAGACAGTCATAAGGGAGGGCAGCTTAAGGAAGAGGCTGTTTGAGTATCATAAATGGCACAGGGGAGTACATTGAGAGATGTGGTTTGGTATGTATGAGTGTCCTAGGCTGTGAAGGGCTCTGAAAGTAATAACTAGCACTTTCAACTGGACCCAGAACCAAACCGATAGCCAGCGCAGTTGATGCAGCACTGGAGTTATGTGTTCTGAGTGGCTGATCCCAGAGAGGAGCCTTGTTGTCTCATTCTGCACTGGTTGGAACTTCCAAAACAGCTTTAACATAATGTGCATTACAGTAGTTTAATCTGGATGTTACGGCTGCATGGATCAGTATAGCCAAGTTGGTGTGATCTAGGTAATAGGCCAGTTTACTAGCTAGATGTCATTGACAGAATGTATTTCTAGCAAGAGCAACAACCTTGATCTACTGTAGAAAGCTTAACCCCTCTAAGGCTGGTGAAACAACACTCACCAAATATTTTGCCTTCCCGACCAGCATCACCTCCATCTTGTCTGGGTTGAGTTTCAGTTTTTTTATCCTCAGGCACTCAACCACAGCTTCAAGACATTGGCCCAAGACTTTTACATGTGGCTCTGGAGGCTTAGAGACTGAGCTATGAAGCTGGGTATCATCAGCATACTGTTGACAACCCTATACAAAGCTCTTGAGATCACTATCAAGAGTCTTACATAGAGATTAAAGAGCATGGGGGATAAAATAAGCCCTTGAGGTACGCCACTTGTCAAACCCCAGCTGGATGACTCTGCCTTTTCTTCCAGGAAGAAACAAGCAAAATCCCTAACTTTGATTGCAGCCATTCCAGTAAGTTTTCATGGTCAAAAAGCCACTGACAGATATAACAATATCAGCAGCCTTTATCCAGCTGTAAGTGAATATCATCAGCCAAGGCCATAAGTGCTGTTTCAGTCCCAAATCCTGGCCTGAAGCCAAACTGAAATGGGTCAGAAGCAAATGTTTCATCCAAAAAATGCCTGCAGCTGCTCTTACCACAACCTACTGAACTACCTTGCTTAAAAAGGGGAGATTGGACATGGGTAGATAATTGTGTACATACCTCTTATCTAAAGACTTGTATAATCTTTCACACCCCTTATAATTTGAGCAGCACAATCCTGGCTTCTTTCTACAAGTTAAGGGTTCCTACACTTGAAACAACTTTCATATGCAGTGTTTGTCCAAATATCTGCAAATATTTTACGGTATTCAGCAAGAGAACCTTCGAGGATAGAGTACGTGCCCTAATTTATTTACATTATTAATAGTCTTGTCTTTCTCACTGAGACCGAAGGCAGATTAGACAATGCAGGTCAATACAGTCAGTAGGATAAGACATCAATAAACAGTGCATTAGGGTTTGGATATCAGAAGTCTGAGACAGAGCTGAAAATGAAGCATAAGCTTTGACATGACATGTTAAATGATGCAGAAATGACATAGTAGGAGCATACTACAGCAACACACAATACTGTACAATTACTGTACACAGTAGTATAGTCCACAGTCCCTGTCTCTTTACCAAAGCATCTTTCTGAACCATTTTGTTACAGTATACCCCTATTACATGTTCAAAAAAGTGATCCTGAATAACTATGTTTTGCATCGATTATGAAATGCCAGGTGAGTGGGAGTCTTCCTGACAGTCAGGCAGGCCATTCCGTAAGGTGGGGGTCCGCAGTGGAGAATGCACATGAGTGGGCAGTTATTAATTTTGCCCATTTGCAAAGTGACGCCTGCAGATGAGCGAAGCTGTCGTGCTGGGGCATAGGGGGAGAGGCAGTCCTGCGATATGAGGAACAAGTATGGCTTGTATGTGGTAGCTGATACCTTAAGTTGAGCCTAATAACCTGATGGGCAGCCAGTGGGTGGACTGCAGAGTGAGAGGGATATGCATGCTCCACCTAATTCCTGATAACTGAGCTGTGGTGTTACGCACTAACTGGAGTATCAGAGTTGACTTGAAGGGGAGACCTATGTAGACTGTATTGCAGTAGTCTAGTTTCAGTGGTACTGTGGTATGGATCCAGGTAGCCTGATCACCATGTTCAGGTTAGGTGCCATCTTGTGGGCTAGACTGAGTTGTAAGAAAGCATTCCTTGCAGCTGCATCAACATGCTTCTCCATCAGCAGTGATGGATCCAGTATGAATCCTAGGCCCTTAACCGCAGTGGTTAACTGAACACCATCAAAAGTGGGGAGCACAATGTCCTTCAAGATCTCTACCTTCCCAGCCAGCATTACCTCTGTCTTTTCAGGATTTAGTTTTAATTTGTTCACTCTTAGCCGTTTAACCACAGCAGACAGGCAGTGATTTAGAACCTCTGCTGCATCAGCAGGATATTTGGCTAAGGAGATATAGAGCGGAGTGTTGTCACTGTATAGATAACGGGCAATTCTCAAAGTATGAGTGAATTGTCCAAAGGCCTTTAGCTAGATGTTGAACAGCATGGGGGATAGGATTCTCAAAGTATGAGTGAATTGTCCAAAGGCATGTTGAACAGCATGGGGGATAGGACTGCACAATTTACTGCATTGTAGATTAATTCCTGCATATATTGTAGATATATAGATGATTTATTTAGTGTTTGAATGTTACTAATTTTATCCACAATGAATGTATGTAATACATTTTTGAAATCACTGAATTTTTCAATGTTATAACCTTTAATTGGATATATTAACGCTGTAGCTTCTGTTGTGATAGAGACCATATCTGTCTAAATTGTACTTTCTTGTCTTTACTATCAAAATTGCTTTCCATTTCCTCTGCTTCTCAGAAGACAAAACTAGATACTTGTGCAAAGGTAGCTAAAGAAGTAGCAGTTTGCAGTCTTTCCTAGATTAACCTTTTTTGCAGTTTTGCTTATAGAAAAATGGCAGCGCAGTGCTAAGGACACTTTCATGGGAGTAAGCCCTGTTGAATAGACCATAATAGAATTCAGAGTAGACCTTAGGATTGCTCTCTTAGTCACATAGACTTTAAAATTTAATTAATATACCTGATCGTTTAGCTTTATATGTTAAATTATAAATTATGTTAATGCAGTGAAAATAACTTTAGATTTGATAAACGTTGCATATTTTATTTCCCCCAAAATTTTTGTTCATGGGGGGGAATGACACTTTTTTAACAACTTCAGAATTTCTGGATATTTTCTATCTCTTGATGCAGCTAAGTGCAGGGAAGGATTTTGTAGCAAGGGAGCAAAGTAGATAACTAAGTGCCCCCTGAAATAACCCAAGCTTTCCATCTTGCATCTTTTAGACTTCACAAACAATTCATGATTGAGGGAGAATCACAGTTCTTACCCACCTTCTGGAAGAAAGCTGCTTGCCTTATGGTAGAGGTTCATCCTTGCATTTTGTCAGGACAGACAGAAGGAAATTCTGCTTTTGTTTCTGTTTGTTTTTATATAGTGCTTTACACAGAGAGTAGTTAACGTGTGGAATTTGCTGCCAGAGGATGTGGTGATGGCCAGAGAAATAAAGTGGGATTAGATAGATTCATGGAAGCTAAGTCTATCTATAGCTACTAGCCACAGTGACTGAGGGGAACCTCCACATTCAGAGGCACTAATCCTCTGAATCCCAGAGCCAGGAGGCAACATCAGGGGAAGGCCTCAGCCTCTATGCCCTGTTATTGGCTATCCAGAGGAACTGATTGGTCACTGTGTGAGACAGGATGCTTTACTAGATGGACCACTGGTCTGATCCAGCAGGGCCTTTTTTATGTTCTTACCATCAGGCATACAAAACAGTTGTATGTGAAGCAGGCAATGTAACAATATCCTGACAGCATCTGATTCAGTCAGTAGAACTCTGGACCATGCTGTCTTCAGCAGAATCCCCCCTCCTCATGTACATGCCTTATGCCTGGCTTTACCATCCAGGTCAAGTGAACCTTTCAGGGAGGATGTAGATCTATA